GTCACTTATTTACTTCCTGATGTGTTGGGGTCACTCCCACTGGAGTGTAAAGGAAAGGACTTTGCCATCTCACTCCCCATTCTACACCTGCAGCCAGCACAGGGCCCACGTGTAACCATCTCTCAATTGCTTTTGATGAAGGAAAGAGTGGTTAATGAACGAACGAATAATCCAAATTCTCTTCAGACGCTGGAACCTGAGTGCAGAGTCCTTGGAATTCTGGCCACACAGGACAGGTTCTCTGACCCTTCAGGAGCTGAGGCCTATGTCTCAGAATTTTTACTGCTCTCTAGGGAAATATTCCTTCCCGTTAGTGGTCTGAGGCCCTGGGGCATTAATCATAATTTTCACATATAGAAGAATTTTAACTTCTCCTCACATTTCTGTCTCATAACCACAAACACAGATGGTCCATGAGGCCAGATCTGCAGGAGGTTCAGGCTCCCCCCTTTCCATCAGTCACCCCTTCTGCATTTGCACATGCCCATACTTGCCCTCAGCAGAGACAGAAGAGACATTAAAGACCAAGGGCAGAGATCAGGTTCTGCTGCCAAAGCCAGGCAGCTCCTTCCTTCCCCCTCACTTTCCTCTGGATCATTCTTTGGATTCTATCATTTATTGGGTCACTGGCTCATGTCAGTTACAGTCACCTGGGAAGATTTAATCCACATCTTTGCCCCGAGGCCTGAGTACCCACCTGACTTCTCTGCTTGCTCTTGGTCCTCATGTGTTATTTATGCTCAAACCCCAGACCCACCATTACCCATCTCTAGGAGAACCTTGAAAATGGTGCCTCAGAGAAAACACACCTCGCTGGATGATGGAGGTGTGCACAGTGGGAAGGAATCAGCCCTGGCTGGCCTGGCAGTCAGCTGGTCAGTGAAGAACCAGGAGAGGCATGGAGGGTGGTATTGAGGGGCCGATGGTCTCTAATTCTCCTCCTCTGTCTTTTCAAGACCAAACCCTGCTGACATATTGACACTTGAGAAAGTCTGTGCTTTCTCCTGGACAAGAACTGGCGGTCTTACATCCTCTGAGCACTCTGATCCTCATGCCCTTGTCTTGAGATACACAAACCTGCCTTATTCTTTCAAGGACTCAAGTTAGCTGAGTGAGAGATGCCAACTTTGATTTGCTCCTTTTTCAATCTGATTATTTGGTTTTGTTGTTGTTGTTGAGTTTAGGAGTTCTTTGTATATTCTGAATATTAATCCCTTACTGTTATATAATTTGCAAATTATTTTCTCCCATTTCTTAGATCATCTTTTACTCTATTGACTATGTCCTTCAATGAACTGAGGTTTTTCATTTTGATGAAGCACAATTTACCTATTTTCTCCTTTTTTGCCTTTTGTCTTAGTTTCATATTCAAGAAATAATTGCCAAATCCAATGTCATGAAGGTTTCTCCCTATATTTTCTTCTGAGTTTTATAGTTTTAGGTCTTACTTAGGATTTGAACCATTTTGAGTTAATTTTTGTATATGGCATAAGGCAATGGTCCAGCTTCATTCTTCTGCATGCGGATATCGAGTTTTCCAACACTGTTTGTGGAAAATACTGTCCTGAGGGCTGGCCCTGGGGCTGAGTGGTTATGTTTGTGCACTCCACTTCGGCAGCCCAGAGTTTCACTGGTTTGGATCCTGAGCGCAGACATGGCATCTCTCATCAAGCCGTGCCGAGGCAGTATTCCACATAGCACAACCAGAGGCACTCACAACTAGAATATACAACTAGGTACCATGGGGATTTGGGGAGAAAAAGAAGAAAAAAATAAGAAGAAGATTGGTAACAGATGTTAGCTCAGGAGACAATCTTTTTGTTTTTTGAGGAAGATTAGCCCTGAGCTAACATCTGCTGCCAGTCCTCCTCTTTTTGCTGAGGAGGACTGGCCCTGAGCTAACATCTGTGCCCATCTTCCTCTACTTTATATGTGGGATGCGTGCCACAGCATGGTTTGCCAAGCAGTGCCACGTCCACACCCGGGATGCGAACTGGCAAATCCTGGGCCGCCAAAGTGGAATGTGTGTACTTAACCGCTGCACCACCAGGCCAGCCCCTATCTATCTTTTTTTCTACTTGCCTATATGTTATGATTTTCTGGAACATTTTGAAATAAATTACAAGCATCACAACACTCTGTCCTAAATACTTCTACCTGCCTGTCTTCAGAAGGTGACATTCCTCTGTGTAGCCACAATTCCATCAGTGAAACTAACAGAATTCTAATTCTCTAGTATCATCTAATGCTCAGTCCATTTTGAGACTTTCCCACTGGTTTGCGGTCACTTGTTAGAGCAGCGATAGGAAACTAATACACCCACCCTGCTGAAAGACTATGTTAATGATATATGTTAAGATCTTTATGGAGATAGAATTCACATACCATACAATTTACTCATACAAAGTGCACAATACAATCCTTTCAGTGTATTCACAGAGTTGTGAAACCATCATTACCATTTAATTTTAAAACATTTTCATAACTCCCAAAGAAACCCCATACTACTTAGCAGTCACACCCCAGTCCTCCCATACCCTCCAACCTCTGGCAACCACTAATCTACACTGTGTCTTTGTGGATTTCCCTATTCTGTTTTTTTCATATTATTTTCTTCTTCTTTTTTTTTTTTTTTTTTTTTTGAGGAAGATTAGCCCTGAGCTAACATCTGCTGCCAATCCTCCTCTTTTTGCTGAGGAGGACTGGCCCTGAGCTAACATCCATGCCCATCTTCCTCTACTTTATATGTGGGATGCATGCCACAGCATAGCTTGCCAAGCAGTGCCATGTCTGCACCTGGGATCCGAAGTGGCGAACCCTGGGCCGCCGAAGTGTAATGTGCAAACTTAACCACTGCGCCACTGGGCCAGCCCCCCTCTTCTGTGCACAAACTTCTCTCAGTCCCACTCTTACAGAGCTCCTTGTGATTCTATTTAGATCCTACCTGGATAATCCAGGATAATCCCCCCACATCAAGATGCTTGACTTTATCACATGTGCAAAAGTCCCTTGACCATATGATGTAATTTTCACCGGTCACAGGGATTAGGCTATAGATATATTTGGGGACACTTATTCTGCCTATCACAGTATTTAAAAAAACTTCAAAATGTTCCATCTTCATAGATAAAAGCTTTTGAAAACACTGTCCATTTCCATTCCTGTGTACTGCATCATGGTGAAGTGCTGCCCCTGTAGGTGAAGGGCTGTATGCTCCCCCAATGCTGTGGGAAGGTCCTGTTGCATCACTTCTTCAAAATTACTGCCTAAGTTCTAGCTGGCAGGAAGAAAACGTGGATTGTGAGTGGTGCTGAGGATGCCACCCCACGCTCATTGCCCAGGACCACCTCCTCTGTGTAACATACACAGAGTATAGCAGAGTATATAAGAAGCCTACTCTCCTGGATGAAGTCATAACTTTGACTGAAACCAACAGAAACACTTGGTACATTTTCACCATGGATTCACTTATTTCATTTAGCAAAGATGATGCCATGAAAATTCTAGGGAGTAGAGTGGTTCCATTTCTCACTGATGAAATATGAAAATTCATAAAATATAAATTAATGACACATGGAATGGAGCAGGCCCTGGTTCTCTTAGCACCTTTGTCTACATTTCTAATCAATAATATATACTGAGAAAGACGGCTTCTGTTGCATACAACCAGTTGTATGTGAAATGTTTAAAAAACAAGATCGCATATTTCTCTAAAAATATTATGCATCTCCAACAAGCACAAGTGATTGTGGTTTAATTTCTACTTCTAAATCCAGTTGGGTATCTACAAAATCCTTGTGAAATTTTAAAACACAACATCACAAATTACTTTTATAAGATGATGCCTCGTTGGAAGTTAACAGCAGAGAATGTGCTTCATTACTGATGATAAATCCTGCACATTATGATAACCATCTTCAGGAGGACACACAGATTCCTGTCCTGGATTCCTGAACCCATTCCTCAACTGCAGTTTCATCAACCACTGCCATGAAATTTTGATACTTAAATTTTGCTTTCATCATTTTCTACCAACTCTGCCTCTCTGACAAAGAAGAAGCCTTCTGGACAAAGAGGACACCTCCCTAAGAAAGACCACACCTCCCTGGCAAAGAAGATGGATTTGAAACTGAGGAAATAAAGTATAACCCTGCTAGAATGTGGTCTCAGGTTGTTTCTCTGGTGATTTCCTTCTCGTGTTGGAGTGAGTCTCTTGCCTGGGCTCTAAGCTTGGGAGCACTCCCCATCTGGAGTGAACCCATGCCCAGCAGGGAGAACATCTCCACGGGGGCTGGAACCTGAAGGGGTGTGAGCCTGGATGAGGTTTTGATGATGGGGAGATTTCAAAGGTGAAATTCTGGAGTTGAGTCCTGAGGAGGCATTGAAAACCTCCTGTCTCCGTAAGTGGTGGAGCACCATAAGTACTATGGGGTGCTTGGAGAGGGCACTTCCTGGTTTGAGGGGAGGAAGAAAAATGGGAGCCAAGGAGAAATGGTGCCATAATGAGTGGGCAGAATGAACAGACCCTAAGTCGATTGACTGGGGGTGGAAATCTTTAAGGGACAAATTATGGTGGACACAGAAGGATGGGGATGCTCTGAGCCTGGAGGGACTCTAAGAAGTATAAGGACAGACTTCAGAGGGGGAAGGGTGTGGACTTGAACAATCTTCTCTGCTGTCCTAGGGGTGCTGGTTAGGCTGAGGGGTTAAACAGTGAGGGATAAGATGGAGGCTTCCTTGTGCAGGAAGAAGTGAAACAGTGTACAAGTCATCTCAACCTTGAGAGACAGTCATCACCTCCAGATTCACCCCCAATCCTCTAGGGTGGTGCCCCTCTCTTCACATCCTCCCTGTTGCCCCCTCCCCTTCCCCATTTTATAGATTCTTCTGGGCCCCACACACTCTGAAGTCTTTCTGACCTACATCTCCTTCCCCTGCCCACTCCCTGCACCTAGGCTACTTTTCAGCCTCCACTTGGGGGCTCAGTCAGTTTCACTTACTCATAAATCCTGGCCTCTTGTTAACTTGAAAACTGTGCTGAAGGACATCTTGGAGCCTGGAGGTGGACACTGATAAATAAATGACAAGCAATAGGATATATTGGAGTATATGGAGAAGACATTTGGCGTAAAACTAATTCGGCCTGCAGTTGCTTTTCCAAAAAAGCCTGGCATGGCCACTGAGCATGCATTGTATATCTGCTTTAAGTGTTTACTATGTCCCAAAGACAAGAACAATGCCCTTATAGATAAGAATGTAACTTCCCCCACATCAGCATTTCCTTAAGGATAAGTATTGTGGGGGACTGGAATTGGCCACCCCAAGATATGTCTCTTTGGCATGAGGATTATTTGGAGCTGATTACTTTTAATAAACTGCAGACAGGAAAGCAACTGAAAAGTAGAATTTACTTACCCTTTGTAAGAGACATTTACATTGTAAAGGAAATCTCCATCTGTAAAGTTGTCTCCCTCTCTGTACCAGGAAGAAGGGGGGATGACCTTATCTCTAGAAACTCCTATCAATACAGAATGCAAGGACTTAACTCTGCATAATAATCTTATTCCTGTTTATTGTGCTTGCCTGGTAACTTCCTGTAGCTGACTCCCCTCCACCCCCAACATCCCCCTTTGTCTTTAGCTGAGTATGTTATTTAAGGTGATGGCTTTGGCCATTTTGGCAAGTTGCTCAGCTTGCCTGAGCCTCTCCCATGTATACATGTTATAAAGCTTTGTTTAATTTTCCCCTGTTATTCTGTTTCATGTGAATTTAATTCGTTCTCTGGCCAGAAGAACCCACAGCAGGTAGAGGAAATGTCTTCCTCCCCTGCAGTATCTCTCCCTAAACTAAGGATTGATTGCTGGTCTGCTGCGCTCACCCTGTTACCACCCAGCTTGAGACCACAGATCTGCTACCTGCTGTGTTCATCAATTGCTGTGTGAAATGCTGTGGCAGCAAATCAATCTCATGACTATTGTAAAAGAGACATTCCAATCGTATGTGAAACATGCTTTTTGACAGTATATAACTACTCTATACACCCCTACTTCTTTGGAGTGCTCTGTTCCTTTGTGAAAGGACTCTCCCTGGCTATATGGTCCTCAGGTCTGGCTCACAATGAACTCACCCCAATTTTGATTTATAGATTGGTTACAGATTATTTGCATTGACAACATTCACTTTCCTATCTAGTATCCAGCGATTCTACAAACACCTGACCCTGACCCAGCTTTGAGAGGAACTGGAACATCTCAGTCTGGTGGGAGTTGGACACTGGAAACCCAGCCCTCACTCTTGAAACTGCATCTGGCATCTCTAGTCCCCAACCCAAGCCTGTCCTTCACTAACCACCCTTCCCGCTACTGGCATTCAAGACCCCACTTCTGAGGGCACTCCAGCACTTAACTCCCTTCCTTTTTCAAATCAGCCCACTGTCTCCTTGGGGTCCCATGTCATCCTCCAGTCCCTGCTCATTCTCTGGGTTTCTATCCCCATAAGATCGGAATCTCCCTCTCCACCATATTCTCTGTGCCCTGTCCCCTGTTGGCCTGTTCATCAGGTGTCCCTGCAGACTCCTGCACCCCTGGAGATTTATGTCTGTGTGTCCCCTACTCTAACTACCTCAAAACACACAGACTCTCATATATACACACATACACGTGTATATGCATTTACACACACTCACATATGCACACACACATATACACACATGCATGCATGTTATATACATGGACACACATATAAATGTACACATGCACACACACACACTCAGCCCAAAGGGCTCTCCACCACAAAGCCTTGATTCCTTGGTTCTAAGTAGTGCCTACAAGAGGCCCATGCCTGAAAGCTACTTCCTTTTGAAAGAAGGTGTGGGCTTCTTCCTTCCCTTAGTCACTCTGCTTAACCCTGACTGTGCTTTGAAGTCTTTCCAGTCTCTCATCTCACTTCTGCCCAGAACCCCATCCTTGCTTATCACTCCTCACTGTCACTTCTAATTTCCAAAGTATCTGATATTTTTCTTTAAAAGTATTTGCACATTTAGTGAATACTTTTGGTTCACTGCTCAGTTCCTGTTCCCCAAGCTGCTCATTCACCTCTGCAGCTGGCCTCTTCTACAGAAATTTGTCCTCATTAGAGCCACAGTTCTTTCATGAGGTAGTTGCCTCCATGCACTCCTGAGAGCAGCCAGCATTCAGGGACAGCATGGCAAAGGGCTCTGGAGCCCAGCATGAGGCAACTCTGGGCTGCACTGTGTCCTCCAGAGCCCCCACGGTCAGCTTCAGCGGATCGCCACTCAGACCTGACCCTTGCTAGCTTCCTTGCTCCATGCTGTCTGGATTCCCTCCAGCATCCCCTCCATGAACCTCTTGAATCCCATCTCCTGCTCTGCTTCTAGTAAACATGACCCAAGACTATCCACACCAGCAGTGGTCCTAGGAACTGGTCTTAAGGGTATATTCTTAAGTGATTGGATCACTCACCACAGATGACAGTGAGCACCACACACAGCTGGAGATGAGGTGCCAACAGTTTCTGGCATGTGTCAGATGTGTAATAAGAATGGATATACTTATTAATTGGGAGAATCCTGATGAGGTTCTTGACCTGTGGGTAAAAGCTAGTATAGTAGGAAAAACAAAGTGGAAACCTCTTTATTTACACTCCCCCCACAACAATATAATAAATCAAAACCAATATCACATCCCAGGGCAAATGGCAGGGAGTAGGGCCACCCTGAAAGGCTGAAGGATACTGGGGTGATGGTCTCATCATGTCCCCACTTAGTTCACCAGTCTGGCATCTCCAAAGTCCAGATGGATAATGGCAGATAACAGGGGACTCTTGTCAACATCACCAAGTTGTAGCCCCAACTGTACCTGCTGTGCCAGATGTTGTATCTTTACTTGTTTAGTTAATAACTGTAGCCTTTCCCCTTACCTGGGTACTGGAACTGGATTTCCAAACTCTCCCTAGCCCTCCCACAACAGAGCTCCCAGCACCTGCAGACCTGGCTAAGGCTGGCAAAAGAGAACCCGTTTGGGGATGGAGCCTGAATCCCCAAGCCCCCCTGCACCCCTCAGACTTGGGGGACTCCCCGGGACAGGAAGCAGCAGGTTGTTTTTAAGGAGGAAATCCCCACAGACAGAGATTCAGCACCTCTTCTGCTAACATCTCACTTCTGTGGGAACATGCTTACTCTCCCAACTAGAAAATGTTGTGATGAAGAATTGCAAAAATGTCAGCATGTGTTTGTCCTCACTGGGACTCTCCACCTGGTGACTTGGGCATCTTTTCTGCAAACATAGACCCGGGCAAGAGTTCCAAGTGCAGCCCTGATTCTCCTTTGCTGCCATCTGCAGTACCAGCCTGTCTCCTACAGGTGGAGCTATGACCCATTTGCAAAACATCTGGGAACATCTATAAACCACTGCTCACCTGCTCACACCCACATTCCACTCTCAAACATCTGAAATAGTGCTGTGCAATAGAAATACAATGGGAGCTATACACATAATTTTAAATTTTCTAGCACTCACATCAAAAATTGTAAAAAGAAACAGATGAATAAGCACGTGAAAAGATGCTCAAAAATATAAATCACTAAGGAAATGAAAAAACCACAAGATACCACCTCACACCCATTAGGATGGGAAAATAAGGGGGGAAAAAGAAAAGAAGTATTCACACAGATATGGAGAAATTGGAACCATTGCACATTGCTGGTGGGGATATCAAATGGTACAGACCCAATGGAAAACAGTACGGTTGTCCTCAAAAACTTAAACTTAGAATTACCATACGATCCGGCAATCTCATTTCTGGGTGTATACCCAGAAGAACTGAAAGCAGGGACTTGAACAGGTATTTGTACACCTCTGTTCACAGCAGCATTATTCACAATAGCTAAAAAGTGGAAACCCAAGTGCCCGTTGAGAGATTAATGGATTAACAAAACATGGTAGGTACATACAATGGGGTATTATTCAGCCTCAAAAAGGAAGGAAATTCTAACACATGGTACAACATGGATGAACCTTGAAGTCATTATGTTAAGTGAAATAAGCCAGACTCAAAAAGACAAATGCTGTATGATTCCAGTTACATGAGGTTCCTAGAGTATCAAATTCATAGAGATACAAAGTAGAATGGTGGTTGCCTGGGGCTGGGGAAGGGAATGGGAAGTTGTTGTTTAATGGGGACAATTTCTCTTTTGCAAGATGAAAAGAGTTCTGGAGATGGATGGCGGTGATGGTTGCACAAAAATGTGAATGTACTTAACACAACTGAACTCTACAGTTAAAGATGGTTAAAATGGTGAATTTTACGTTATATATATTTTGCCACAATAAAAAAAAATTAAAGGGGATGGCCCAGTGGCATAGCAGTTAAGTTTGCATGATCCATTTTTGCTGCCTGGGGTTCACAAGTTCAGATCCTAGTTGCAGCCCTACACACTGCTCATGGAGCCATGCTGTGGCAAGTGTCCCACATATAAAATAGAGGAAGATGGGCACAGATGTTAGCTCAGGGCCAATCTTACTTAGCAAAAAGAGGAGGATTGGCAGAAGATGTTAGCTCATGCTAATCTTTCTCACACACACACACAAAAATTAAAAAATAAACAGGTGAAGTCAGTTTTAGTAATATTTTTATTATCCCAATATACTCAAAATATTATTTCAATATGTAATTAATTAAGATTATTGAAATGTTTTATGTTCTTTTTATCATACTAAGCCTTTGAAATTTGGTATGTATGCTACACTTACAGAGCACTGAAATTAGAGCTAGCCACATCTCTGATGAATTTATGGAAAATTAAAGTAAGAGGTTGGGAGCTTGAGAGGAGTTTAGAGAGAAAATAAAGTTTTGGTCAAAATTGTCAGAACACTTTGGTTAAAGCAGAAAGAAACTGGGGCAGGCTAAGGGAAAACTTTGAAGGGAAATTGAAGGAAGAGTTTGGGGGCTTTCAGAGTTAACGGTGGTTTGGAGAGAAATTAAGATTATATTTGGGGGAAAGAAATGTGTTCTTCGGGAAGAGTCTGGGGATAATTGGATAAAATTAAGGGAACAATTTGTGGGAAATTAAGAGGTCAGATAGTAG